TAAATAGATATGCAGTGTAACTAATCAATAAGTGAGTTTGTGGGTGCTGATGTAGGGTCAACTAATAGCAACGCTTCCAGTAAACCAGCAGTTCAGCTAAAACAAATTTCATCAATGTGTGTTGGGCTGCGTTTCTGTTTTGTTTCAATAAATGTCCAAACATTATGTCAAATGTAAAAACTCTGTCGAATTATACCCAATACAACAAATGAAAATGAACAGAGTGGATGGTTAAAAACGGAGCAAGTTGGTCTTAGCCGCAAGGGAATTAACTCTCATTTCACGGTTTTTAATATCCATTTCACTGCGAAACGTGCTGCTGTGTGTTGTATTATACATATCATTAAATAGATCCTAGATCCTATTACAAAACGTTAGTGTTATGATTGGAAAGTCGACAGAGGTTTTGGTTGCTTCTGCTTTATTAATGACGACAAACAAAATGACATTAGGCCATAATACGCATCTGAACCGAATAATAATAAGTAACCGAGTTTGTATGTAATATGTCCTCATGGCACAACAGAGCAGACCACGCGTTGTGAAGATCATTGGTAGAACTGCTGTAATGAGTATAACATCACAATGACATTATGACCTTGCCGTTTTGGACTGCCTTCGCTGTAGGGGAAAACTTGGGTCCGATGGGATCCCTTACATGAGCTCATGTTTTGTGGTTGAATTCAATTCAATGGAGCTAATGAAACTCAAATCACAACGGAAGAGGAGCTGCAGAGTCTGCTCAACTTATTTGTTCCAGTTGCGGTTGCAGATGTTAAATTATACAGATATTTACTAATTATACATAGCAGTTTTCCAAATCTCTAAACATGTGTACGCACATTACAACTAGATTTGCTTTGTACTTGTAAAAATGTAAAACATGTTTATAATGCGATGGGAAATGCTATGAACATCATGGTATGCCTACGTTGGTTCGGTTCTCCCTGCCACCACGGAACTTGGGATATGGAAGGAGTAAGAAACCTGTGGGAAATCAGTCTGAAATTCTCTGTATCCTTTCCCGGATCTCGTTAACGTTTAATTCACTTAGGATTTGCTCGAGTTCAGTCTTTGGTATGTTTGCAATGTGTGTTTGCGATCAAGTCGGGCAACGTGTACATTCAGGGGGAGAAGAGGGAGATAATAACTTCGGCTTGGTTGGTGAAAGCTGTCGATGTGAGAGAGAACGGACGGATGTCAGATTTCGCCTGCTTTTGCGGACTGAATGCTGCACGAGAATTGCTTTATAATTTTCACTTCGTCAAACATGCATTGTTCATTAATTTCAATTTCCACCATCACCCACGTACGTACATATCCATATATATGATTTTCATCATAATTTTCTACTAAATATGTAGCATTTTATATTTAATTCAAGTATGGCAATCAAACAGGTGATACTTTTGATAAAAATACAGATTAACAATCAACATATAGAATAGACTGAAACAAATAGACTGAAATTTAAAAGTTCACTAGAACCAATTATCCAGACCTATGATTACCAGGCAATTAATGCACGATTCTTAATAATAAATCATTAAGATTTATTAAGGAATTACCCGCATGATATCTCTGATAGTGTAAAATTTCGTCCTGTTGTGTGTTGCAGCGGTGGTTTGATGTGTTTATTTATACAGTTTGTGCACATGGCTAATTTGTTTCATTGCGAAAGAACATGAAGGAGGACGCGTTGTTTGTTATGGTTATGAGAGTGGACATGTTGTGCGGTGGGAGAAAATAGAGGAGAAAGACGCAAGTTTTTGAGGAGGAAAGAGCAAATTAGGTGGAACTTGGGTGGCGGTGGTGCACTGGGAAAGTGAAAAGCTAGCCCAAGGAGGGAGTTCATACACACAAAGCGGAAATTCCCCTTGCATTTCACAACGGCCATTATTACCAGTGCTAAAACAAATGGGGCTGATTATATGGCGCTGGCAGGTTATCATTTATCGCTTGAGGATGTAGGATAAAACGCACACATGTGTTTTTTATTGCAACCGCTGAAATGGACGGATGGGAGGCTTCATGTATGGATTTGCTCGAAAGTTGCAGAGTAAGCCGTTTAAATATTTACGTGAAATGGGTGCCGTCAGCCAACTCATGCTGACCATGTTAGTATCGTCCATGTACTTGTACATATGTACATAAATACGTGCATTAGACTTGTTATTCGTACGATACATTATATAGACGTGTGCATATTTAACTACGAGCTTGTTCCAATGCCATATAATAATGCAAAAATTATATTTTTAAGAGGAAAACTACGAAAACTAATGTTTCTCTTTATGACCCAATGTATTTTCAAATATATAAAAGTTTCAAGTTGATGCAGACATCAATTAAAGAGAGAAAGAGTTGTTATGATTGGTACAAAAAGTTCTGTGTAATTTACTCATTTGGAGACGGAGGAACTTTCTCGGAGAAAGTTCCAAGTGAAATATTTCGTCCATTTTACTTGGAAGCAAAGTAGATTAAGCAATCAGAAAGGAGTGGCTTTAAAGTTTGCTCACTCTCGCAACTCTAAAGTTCACCCGTCATTTGCTTCGGTGGCTTAAGAACACATGTCGTCGTCGTCGTCCTCCTTCGTCGGCTCCTTTCCGTGTTATTTGCTAAGTGAGTAATTGCTTGAGCTGGAGTGTAGGAAAATAAGTAAATGGGATTGTTCACAATCGTTCGTTACACAACAATACCTGTCGTGTTTGTCCAGGCCATGTCGCGATCGACAACTTTCTCTCGCTCAGAATGGACTGCCGCCGGTGTGCCCTGCTCCCAACCAGCCTTCATGAAGCACAAACTTCATGAATAAGCCATTACCAATTATGGATGGCCAATTCAACGGTTTATCGCACTCACAGGAGGAGGGTTGCTTGTTGGTGCAAAATAACGACTTTTACTAACATTGCACCATCAATGGCACACCACTTTTTTGCAATCTGTAGTTTCTAGCGGAATTACACTTCCAGTCGTTGAGAGCACGCAATTTACACTACATTGTATCGTCTTTCTACATTGTATAGAGGTTGGGTATACATAGATTTAGAACTTTGCAGGTTTTTTTGACAGGAGGACAGAAATCTTTCGCCTGTGTAACTAATGAAATGATATATGGCATGACACAGTTTTAAACACGGTGCTACTTATATTTAGAATTTGTGTCGTATGCCGCTAACTACATGCTAAATCACAAATGACAATTCAATGGCATCCATAATCAATAAATTTATAAATGGATGGAATGAATGGCGGCGTCGTGCTGTCAGTAGACCAATCCAATTTCTTTGATGATATGGAGAAAGGGCACCAATCAGGCGTGCGGAAACGTCTAACAAAATAATAAGTAAGCATTAATTTATACCTCGACATCCTATAACTTTGGCCTTGGCTGGTCTTCCTTAAATTCTTGCAAGTTTTAGCGAATATGTATGAAAATAATTGAACAGAAATATTTAAGAAAACGAGGCTTATTGTACTTTGATCCTTCATTCCCTTTCAGTTCTTTGAAGAATTATAATCAAACAATAAGAACAACCAGTCAAACCCTCAAACAGTATGCATAATTTGGTAATAAAATACATTTTCACTTTCGAGTAGTTTCAAGTGACTACTCTGTTGAAAACTGATCGAACCACAAGAACAGAACAAAACGAGAACTAAATACATATGATGAACAAGAGTCTCAACGTAAAGGAAAGCCCACTGCATCCTCACTCGTCGCACAACTCGCGTCCATTCCGTTCTCTAAAGGGTATACATACATGGTGGCAAGTGAAAAAAAAGTCTCAACAACGCCACACACACACTCATCCCCTCCCCACTCTTGGCACCACCACCTTTTCTTTGGAGAAGTGTATTCAAGTCGAGGAGGAACGTTGGGAGGCACGAGAAGTTGTCTTGAACAAAAGTGGAGCGCGTGAGTGGAGAAAAAGAAAACAAATTCAATTACCCAAATGCATATTTAACTACAGGCAGTCAAGAACATAAAGACTGTAACATAACAATAGCCAGCTTCCATTATGTGCATAAAAGATAATATCTTAAAGGCGAAGGCGACGATGACAGTTAAACCAAAGAAAGAAAGAAAGTGAATGAGTGCAATTCCATTTCCAACCAACCCATTACGCCACACCTTCACAAAAATAAATGCCCGAGTAAACTTTACCTTATCATCTGGCTGGTTACTTTCTACTCTTACCACCTTAATAATGAAATTTAGGGTAATGCGCTGGAAGGGACCCTTTGTACCAAGAAAAATTATATTATTATATTTGTCACTCCAGACAGTGGGTCTATTTAAGGACATACATATCGCATTCTCACGGTCCCTACCTTATTTTCCACCTGTCTCAATATTCATGGGTTGCGTGATGTGATAACAAATATGACGAAATTACATTTCATGTATGATAACCAAATCCATCATGCACAGTGTCTGTCTTGTTAATGCAATTTCAGACAACACCTCACAAACAACGAAAGGAAAACAACACCGTACAATTGCTTTGTTGAAAATGAATAAATCGAAGATATTCGAGGAGGTCTGGCCATGTTTATCGAAACATGTCCACAAATTAGCTGGCGTACTTTACCAGCGTAATAACTAATTTATTTATATTTATATGTTGGATCTCAACTAATATCGATGTCATACAAGTTTCAGTAGCGATAAAAATAAAATATTCATTCTTGGTTCATTTTCAAAGTAGTATTGATGTTTCATTCTTTATGCTTTATTTAATCAAGCACATGCGACAAGACCTGCCAACTCATTAATAGGATGGATGGAAATATACAAATTCAAACTGTCCGAGTCAATGTAACTTTGTAAGACTACATTTATTTTTGCAGGAGGGCTCACTCCATCATTATATGAATGACTTGACGTTAACAGCTATTTTCCCGTCAAAAAACTCACCGGCTGAACAAAGATAAGACAAACCTGTGTATAAAATAACCCATCCTACTTACGTGCTACACTAGGTACTTTCTCTTACCTTTATGTTGTCCGGCTGGCAGGGACCGCTGAACGATTGTGTACGTCAATTACTGCAGGACGGGATGAGAGGGAGGGAGAAAGTCGATACTGACCAAAGTATGGCTATGCAACCTGTATTATTATTACTCTGCCGTCGTCGGTTCAGGTTTATTAATCCACAAAGCAGTAGCCGATGTATTCCATTTTTTGCTCTTCATCCACCCACCCGCATGTTAAAAGGTTATCATCACCATGTGCAAATGTTTGAGACATGATTTATTTCATTCTTCACAATGAAATTGAATGATTCAGCAAACTTTTTGTTATTTTCCAGGTCACTGCTCAAAAGAAAGGAGAGGAAACACTGGGGCATGCACACTAGAAAAGCAAAACACTCTTTGCAACCTCTCCTTCCCTTGTCTCTCAAAATATTTTTGTAGTTTTTGGCAATTTGACAGCCACATTCACTTTCCACCACAATTTCCTATCGTGTCAATGTCGACTAGAAACCAATGGTCCTCAATTTCCTCAACTCTCGGACTTTTGACTTTCTCCTTCACAAGATTTGACTCCTCTGCCAAACCACACAAAATAATAAAGGTTCTATTGGCTCGGCTCTATTGGCTCGAGATTATTTAGTAGTGTGGTTCTTGTAGTGGAAAAAGAGAGAGCTAAATTTAGAAAAAGAGAAAGAATGGGTACATCATCCCTTCCTTCTCAGATTCAGAGTTGACGTTGAAGACAGCTCTCCTCGTTTTAGTTTCACTTTAAGTGGCAAGGATGACAAGTTTTTGTGAGTTGAGAGGTTCTGGGAAAGCTGGACGAGATCAGGCCAGGGCCGTGAAGACCATAGAGATAGCTGCTCTCCTCCTATGCCCCTCTAAGCACAGGGAGATGGATATAGATGGATCTGCGGATTAGATCGTCTTCAAATTCAGTGGAAGGGAGAGAAGGACTTGTGTGAAGAAAGGAGGATGAGATTATACCCACAATAACCAAGTTTCTACAGAACGGGTCCGTACTGGTAGTGGTGGTGGTGGTGGTGATGGTATGTATTCGGGTAAAAGAGAGAGAGAGTGAAGTGAAAGTCGCTCAATTCTTGGTCAAATTCAGTCCGCTCTGCTGGCAACCTTCCGATGGAGGAGTCTCGCAGAGGAGAAGAAGAAGTAGTCGACGAGGTATGAGTGTGTGGGTGAGTTGGGTATCAAGTAGCAACTATTATGCCCAGTTAGAGGCAGAAGGAGACGGAGAAAGTATAAGTCGTTGTGTTAGTGTCGGTTAGAAGGATGAGATGAGAGGGCTGAGTTCAAGCCTTAAGTGGGAAGTCTAACCAACCAACCAAAGGAAACCGCACAAGTCAACTTTCCACGACTTTGCTTCCTTTGGATCGTCTCAAACCAAGATGTTTTTACACGGACAAGACGGCAGATCCAATCCTCCGGACCACTTTCTTTCCCTTCCTTTCCTTCTTATGAGCTGATACTGACTGAGCCGTCTCCTCCACCAGGGATTTTTTCTTGTTCCTTTCCCTCTCACAAAGAAAACGATCTATTATCCATCTCCTATCGATGAGACAGAGATGAGATTCCTTCAGTTGGTTTACTCCATCTTCTTATCCACTTTCCCCTTGATTTATCACAGTCTTAGTTTAATTTAAACTGCAAAGAGAGGCAGAGTCTCGCAAAATCTCGTATTAATTGTAGATTTATTTTTATTCCCTCATTCAGAACCAACATTTCACTACATGTACTTATGTCCTGTCAACTGCCTCGTCTCGATGATTGATTGCAATGAATAATATAAATGTATGGTTTATACTTGGATTCGAAGCAGGAGCAATCAATAAACCTTTTCTTGAGAATGAGACTTCAGCCACGAAACGAAGTCTCTACAGCATACTTAAAGCTATATTTCAGTGGGAAAGTAACTGTGCGCGGAGGGTGCAAGTTTTGAGTTTTGTTCTTTAGAGAAGATTTTCAACTAATTCAAACTTTCGAGTGCAAACAAATGTGACCATCTTATGGTCGTCGTCTGGTGAAAGTGAGCCAGCCAGCAGGACCTGGTATGCACACAAACGGGAGAAGAGGTTCTCGAGGCGGAATGAAGGAGAAAACTTGTCGCACGACAGAGCTCTTGTGACTTGTACTCTCTGGGTGCGAAGGGAATGCAATGCTTGCCGAATTTGTTGGAGGGTGGGTAAAAGTTGGATCTATGCAGTTCCTTCCAAAGTGTATTAGCAGTTAGTGGTGGCGGTGGTGGTGTGGTGAGTTTGGTCGGCTTCGTAGTATTCGTGGAGGAGGAAGAATATCAAATCAAATCAATTCCAACTTTCACCCAAACGGGATCCTCGCTTGGATTTGGGCTGAATATACATGCCAATACTAACTGATGTACGTGGTTGAGGGTCGTGTTGACTCCTTCACACTAATGCTCTCTCTCTATCTCGGCTGCAGCGTCTGGAGCGGAGTAATGGGTCTTAAAGAGGAGAGAGACGAGTATTGAGATGAGATTGAGATTGCGACTGGGGACGGCGTGTTGGTATTTCCTCAATTCCTTCCTCCTCAAGACGAGTAAGTAACTTCTTTGGGGAAGTGGTGCAGTGTGCTCACCGAGAGCGGAGTAGTAGATGCCCGGAGAAAGTGAGTGAGTGAGAGAGAAGGGAGCACGGGAGACCGGCGGTGGTGGTGGTGGTTGTATTAGTAAACAGGACACACGGGGTTGTTGGAGAATCCAATGTTGAAATTCGGAGAGCGAGAGAGCAGTTACGAGGGACGTCAACGAGTCTCACTTCAGCTCACAACTGACGCATTTTACTCTTCCTGCAGAACGATATCATGCTAAACTAGCGTTAATCATATCGATTTTTGAGAACTTCTCTCTCTCTCTCTCTCTCTCAACCAGGAGAGACAACCCGGGCTGGGGGCGAAGAGAGGGTGCGTCGTGACGGTGGTGTGGTGAGCCCCGTGTACCAAGGGAACCTTTAAGGGCTTTGGGTTTGCACATTGTATTATGTCGGGAAGTATGGCAATGCCCTTCATTCAGGGCTCACCTCAACGCTCTTGTAGCCGACGATGATTTGAATCTCTCTCAGATTCTTTAGCTTTTTGCATAATCCATGCAAAGAGACGGATGTAATTAGGATTATGTCAACATTACTTTGTTCTAAGAAATTCATTGTATCAGAAAGCAGAGGCCGACGTCACCTTAATTAGCAATGCACGACGAGGATGAATATTCTTTGATATTTGTGATATGTGTCAACATTGATGACTGTCCAAACTACTCGAGGAAGGAAAGGAGTGGGAGAAAGTGAGAGCAGAAATAACACCATTGGTAAATGTTCCCGGAAAGGTCTCATCCTATCACCAACCATCACATCACCTAATATGAACTCTACTCGACTCGGTTGGTTGGTTGGTTGGTGGTGGTTCTGGTAATGCCCGCTTTCTTCTCCAACCACAAGAGCACATTGCATTGGTGGGAGAGGATGATGATGATGATGAGGGGGTGCTGAGGGTATGAAGATATATCTTTCGTGCCCTAACCCTGCTGGGAAGCCAAAGCCCCAAAGACTACTCTTTCCAGCAGAAGCAGGAGTCACTTAGCAAACCATTTGCGCTACCAACCTGTGCAAATCATGCATCGTAATAAATACATACATACACAAAATTATTGCAATTGAGTACTTTACTTCAGATTGTTAGACCAATTGTTTGCATAAAATTTTACACGGAATTTAGAAAGAATGATGTTAAATCACGGAATGAGATATACGAAATTTCATCAAAATTTTGATTCGTTCAACAACATATGAAAACTATAAAATTGACAGTTATAAAGGAGGATTATTGACCACCGCGGAGACGAAGGACCAGATGGAGTGTAGATTCTTTTTGAATGTTGTAGTCGGACAAGGTTCGTCCGTCCTAAAAAAATGAACATTACAATTGACATCCAAAATTTTAAAATGACAATTATAAGATTATCACAAAAGCAAACTCACCTCAAGTTGTTTCCCAGCAAAAATCAGTCGCTGCTGGTCTGGTGGAATCCCCTCCTTGTCCTGGATTTTCGCCTTGACATTTTCAATCGTGTCAGAAGGCTCAACTTCGAGCGTGATGGTCTTCCCCGTCAAAGTCTTTACAAAAATCTGCATGCCACCACGGAGACGAAGGACCAGATGGAGTGTTGACTCTTTTTGGATATTATAATCGGACAAGGTTCGCCCGTCCTAAAATAAAGAACATTAGAATGTTAAATTTGGCCTTAAAAATTTTCAATTGGCAATTATAACTTTTAATACAAAAAAACTCACCTCGAGTTGCTTTCCAGCAAAAATCAGTCGCTGCTGGTCTGGTGGGATCCCCTCCTTGTCCTGAATTTTGGCCTTGACGTTTTCGATTGTATCAGAGGGCTCGACTTCGAGGGTAATAGTCTTACCCGTGAGTGTCTTTACGAAGATTTGCATACCACCACGGAGACGAAGGACGAGATGGAGGGTGGATTCCTTTTGGATGTTGTAGTCGGACAATGTTCGTCCATCCTAAAAAAGAACATTTAAATATTAAATTTCTCCTTAAAAATTTTCAATTGGTAATTATAACTTTTAATACAAAAAAACTCACCTCGAGTTGCTTTCCAGCAAAAATCAGTCGCTGCTGGTCTGGGGGGATCCCCTCCTTGTCCTGGATTTTTGCCTTGACATTTTCGATTGTGTCGGAGGGCTCAACCTCAAGCGTAATGGTCTTCCCCGTGAGTGTTTTTACGAAGATCTGCATACCACCACGAAGACGAAGGACGAGATGGAGTGTGGATTCTTTTTGGATGTTGTAGTCGGACAATGTTCGTCCATCCTAAAAACCGAATATTTAAATATTAAATTTTGCCTTAAAAAAATTTTCGAGTGGCAATTATTACACAAGAACCTCACCTCGAGTTGTTTTCCAGCAAAAATCAGTCGCTGCTGGTCTGGTGGGATCCCCTCCTTGTCCTGGATTTTCGCCTTGACATTTTCAATGGTGTCAGAAGGCTCGACTTCGAGAGTAATGGTCTTCCCCGTGAGTGTCTTAACAAAAATCTGCATTCCTCCACGCAGACGAAGGACCAAATGGAGTGTCGACTCTTTTTGGATGTTATAATCGGACAAGGTTCGTCCGTCCTAACATAATAAGCATTTGAAACATTAAACATCTCTCCTTAAATTTTCAAATCGTAATTCATAACTTTGAGCACCACCAACTTACCTCGAGTTGTTTTCCTGCAAAAATCAGCCGTTGCTGGTCTGGTGGGATCCCCTCCTTGTCCTGGATTTTCGCCTTGACATTTTCGATTGTGTCGGAAGGCTCAACCTCGAGCGTGATGGTCTTCCCCGTGAGTGTCTTGACGAAGATCTGCATACCACCACGGAGTCGAAGGACTAGATGAAGGGTAGATTCCTTTTGGATATTGTAGTCGGACAATGTTCGCCCGTCCTGAAAAAAATAACATTTGAACATTAAATTTGGACTTGAAAATTATCAAGTGGCAATGGTAATTTTTATTTAAAAAAAACTCACCTCAAGTTGTTTTCCAGCAAAAATTAATCGCTGCTGGTCTGGTGGGATCCCCTCCTTGTCCTGAATTTTAGCCTTGACATTTTCGATAGTGTCGGAGGGCTCAACCTCGAGCGTGATGGTTTTCCCCGTGAGTGTCTTTACGAAGATCTGCATACCACCACGGAGACGAAGGACCAAATGGAGTGTGGATTCCTTTTGGATGTTGTAGTCGGACAATGTTCGTCCGTCCTAGGATAATAAGCATTTGAAACATTAAACATCTCTCCTTAAATTTTCAAATCGCAATTCATAATTTTGAGTAAAAAAACTCACCTCAAGTTGTTTTCCAGCAAAAATTAATCGCTGCTGGTCTGGTGGAATCCCCTCCTTGTCCTGGATTTTGGCCTTGACGTTTTCAATTGTGTCAGAAGGCTCAACTTCGAGCGTGATGGTCTTTCCCGTGAGTGTCTTTACGAAGATCTGCATACCACCACGGAGACGAAGGACGAGATGAAGGGTGGATTCCTTTTGGATGTTGTAGTCGGACAATGTCCGTCCATCCTAAAATAATGAATATTTGAATATTAAACTCCCTCGAAAATTTTCAAGTGGCAATTATAATTATTAATACAAAAAAAACTCACCTCAAGTTGTTTTCCAGCAAAAATCAGTCTCTGCTGGTCTGGTGGAATCCCCTCCTTGTCCTGGATTTTCGCCTTGACATTTTCAATCGTGTCAGAAGGCTCGACCTCGAGGGTAATGGTCTTCCCAGTGAGTGTCTTAACGAAAATCTGCATACTGAATTTGAGAAATTACTCGTTTTTTTGGAAATTATTGAGAGATCCTTTTTAATTGTGTGCGAACAATAGCAAGTAGAACGAACGACTGAGCTGAACTTTGAGTCAATGGCTGCTGTGGTGACTCTCTCTCGTCTTCTTCTCCTCGTCCCGCACTGCGCAGGTGCGGCTGGCCCACAAGTCTCTTCCCTCTAGCTCCCTTCTCCCACTGAGAATATGCGAAGGGAATTTTGGACCGACCTGCTGACGTCTACAAACTGACGAACAAAGAACTTGCCAGAACAAAGTGACGGTGGGTCGTCCACCAACTTTGAAAATTTTCACGCCTACATTAATTACTATGCAACCAGCATTATAAAAGTTCAAATAATTGGACAAGAAATTAAACACGTACTTTTTCGATACTGTGCTCCGCAATCAATTTTCTATCTGACGACGTAATGCATGAGGACAATGTGCAGAATGCTGATGCAAAATCGAACAACGTTTTGCGATTGGACTTCTGGTTGAGTCAGTTTATTGCACAGTTTTTCGTTGCATAAAACGACTGGGTGGATTGCATGATGATTTGGCAAATTCGACGTAGACTGTTTGTTCATGAAAACGATGGCAAATTTTGTATTTATATTTCTTATGTGAGCTTGTCGTTCTATTCTCATACAAACTCATTTCGTGCTCAGGAAGACATTCGCATTCGTTTGCATATATGGATAAATGGAAAAGTGCATAATAAAATTAGACTAATTTTTGGATCGGTTCAGTCTCTAACAGTTTTGAACTTTATCATCGAGTTGATTATTTACGAGTACGAATGGAATAAGTTTAATAACAATACAATTTACATTTTCGGCGATGAGAGCATAATAACCTTTCATGTTTTGTAGATTTGAGTTTCTCTGGCTTATTTTTCCCTTTGTGCTGTTGAACAAAATAGATGAGCCCTTATTTATTTGTAACGATTTGCATAGCTTGGTGACAAGGAAAGCCAAATACCAATGGTGACATTGGCAGACTTATGCTGTTTAACATATCTCGCTTTCAGACTTTTGATTTTGATATCTAGTAAATTCTAGTTAATCTAAAAATCCTAAGCAAAATTGCAGCGACGAACAAGACGAATTATAGGCTTATCGAACGGAAGCAAGCATAAAACACATCATCAGTGTCATGTGTGGATGAATGTGTCCGATAGCAAGAAGAGTACAGTTTGGCTTGCAATCGTCAATAGTGCTATGCCATGCCAAGTTTATCTTCGTTGAACTGACTTTTCTACGAACAACATGTACGCAGTAGGTTGATAACATGACACGCATTATGTACGCCAAAAATTCATTCTGCAACGTATACACAACGTGTATACGTTGTTCGTAGAAAAGTCAGTTCAACGAAGATAAACTTGGCATGGCATAGCACTATTGACGATTGCAAGCCAAACTGTACTCTTCTTGCTATCGGACACATTCATCCACACATGACACTGATGATGTCATCAAGCCAATGCCATTACGTGGGGATTACTCGGGAAGTTTCCAGCATATGAAAACCAAATCAAATAGCATCAAACCGATTCAATTTGATTTTGCATAAAAATGAATAGCTTTATGAATAGTGTAGCCTGCAGCTCATTTGCATAAATATCACAATCCCTAAGTCGGGTTTTCATGCAAATGAACTGACATGTTAGTTTAATTTGAAGAAGAATATGTGAATTCTGAGGACATGCATGATATTTATTGTCAATGTAACACTAGCTTTTGGAATACTTATAATAACACTATTGACATTATATTAAATACATCTCCTCAGTCATTTATCAAGTCCTTGCCTTCTCATGCTAGTGCATTTGAGAGTATGTGAGATTCTGCAGAGTTCGTCTCAAATTCTCCCATTCACCGCAAAATCTTGTGAAAGTAAGAAACCGATAATTTTATGAAACCTTTGCTCCTGATTTAATCCAACCCACTTGGCGATAACTTTCGTTATAGTTAAAACCCAGTTGTTATTTAAATTATTTCATATTTGTTAAGATGGACGGACAGTAAGTGGGAGTAATTGACTTCAATTTCAAATTTAACAATTGCAGATTTAGGTCATCCTTATTCGATTGTTTTTGGATAATACCAAGTTGAAGAGATCTGTAACAGGTAATTTATGCCATGCATTCATGCCTTACTACTGAATTGAACTGAATATACTTTCGTTCGTGTTGTGTAATTTAATTAGTAATTATTGTGTTGGACTCTTGCATTTTTAATTGCAGTGCAGACTGACTGACATCTCCCAACACTATATGCCAGTGACAATACTACCAACACAAAATAGTTCGAAATGGATGTAAGTAAAATCCAAGATTGATTACGATATATTTCAAACTGGAATTTCCACGTTTTGACTAACCAAAATTGTATTATAACTTTATCACCTTAATCATCTCACCTCAATCTTAATCACCTCAATGCATTACTTACAGATGAAACATTTGTCTGGCCTTCCAACCCAGATTCGATGGCCTTCAGTACCCTCAAAATCTGGAACTGACAAGCTCCACTTGGCTGTTTTGATGGGTCGGCCAAGAAAAATTCGGAAATTGGTGTCTTCTGCCAATGTTCCAGTGGACAGTCGTAACCAGGATGGACTAACAGCCCTATTTGTAGCAGCAACGTTAGGGAAGAAGGATGTGGTTAACACACTCTTACGTCTTGGAGCGAATCCAAATGCCCGTTGTCGACCAGAAGGTTTCACCGCTCTTCATGGAGCTTGTTTCATTGGAAGTTTATATATTTTAAGAAGGCTTTTGATCGAGGGAGGAGATCTGCGATTATCTGATTCGAATCGACGGCGACCAGAGGACTGGATTGAGTTTCAACAGTGTGTATTTACACGAAAAACGACCAGGGACTTTATTGAACGAATACGGTTTTGCATTATGAAGAAAGATTTGAATGAAATGAAGACTGAGCTACATGACAAAGTCGAAAATCTTCGAGTCCCGGTCAGAAGTACAATATGGAAGATGATGAGAAGGATTGGCAAGATGCTAGATTTTGGGAGTGGTAGGAGCAGCAAAATTACAACAGAGCTACGTCACAGCAACCCTGTCTCCACAGGTTTTGGGAAGGTGTATTTTGGAACCGGAACAAAATGTGCCCAAGTCATTGGAATACCTTGTGTCACAGAAGCTTTGGATTTTAAATTGGACAGTAATCCAAAAGCACCATCATGGATCTGCGGAAAATTCAGTACATTCATCCCCATGTTTTGGAATCAACGAAAGACGGCTGTTACAAGCAAAGTTTTACGTCGAAAAAGCGTACAAGAAGCGGTTCCTGACATTCTCATTAGTGAGCTAGCCCTGTTGGTGAGACTGCAACACCCTCAAATTCTGATGATTTTAGCAATTTGTCAAGGTATGATACAATATTAATGTTGGTATTAAGTTTTTTTGAGTGATTGATATTTTTTAATCGTCGGAAAAAATTATGTAATTGATGCAATTCAATCAACTCAAACCATGCTATCCTGTCATGAATTATTGGATTCTTATTTGTTTGTTTTTATTTATTTATGAAGAAGAAAACTTTGATTCTTTATCCCTGATTTTTGAAAAAATTGCACTCGGGTCTTTGTATTTCTTCCTACATCAACAAAATCTTCGTATGAAATCCACATTTGCAACAGATATCGTAAGTTGGTTATCATCGATGCATGTGCATATTGTATAATGCCATATAAATTTGAAATCATGTATATAGTATGGAATTTTGTTTAGATAATTCAAATCTCTGAAGCACTGGATTATATTCACGGAAGTGGTTTTCTTCATTGTGGAATTTCTTCGCATGCCGTAATGCTTGTTGGTGACAATCATGCCAAACTGGGATGCTTAGAGTATGCCATGCCGGAAGAGAAAAACGCAGCGGAATCGTTCCTATCATCTCGACACCCATGGTTGGAAACAGACTCTCACTTGTCTGTTCTCCGACATTGGCTAGCACCCGAAGTCTTGATTGGAACTCATCCTCATTCGCAGGCCAGTGACGTCTACTCACTTTGTTCCGTCATGTGGGAGCTGGTTGTTGGAGATGTGCCATGGAAAGATCATGACTTGGCAAAATTGCGAATACTTTTAAAAGAAAGTCCGGGTTTACAACTTCAGCTGCGAAAAGATGTCATTCCCCCACTATGGCTGAGCGTGTTACAAGTTGGTTTGAAGCGAAAGCGAGAAGAAAGAGATTTGGACTTTAAAGAAGTCAGGTTCATGATGACCTTAGCCAAGGAACGAGCTTCTTGTGAAGGGTCAGCAGCAGGAACTAGTGGAACAGGGGAGAAGAAGAGTGTGAGTAGAGTTTCCTTGAGGTCTATGAATCCAAATATTGTATCACCCGATGGACAAGGAGATCGAATAAGTAGTAGACCAATTTTGGTTGAAACTATTAATGTGGATGAAGATGACGACGATCAAATTGACTCTATTGTACATTTCGGAAGCAGCAACAAGGGAGAACGTTCTAATACTTCCATTTGCAGATCATTTAAAACTGAAGCATTTTTGCAAGTTTGAGTATACATACACTTAAATGTCAAATTTTACCGGTATATTATATTGAATAATGCATTTTACTTAGTTACATGCAATTTTAGACGAGTACATACATAACTAACTATATAGTAGTATAGAGTACAAATATCTCTAGATGAGGAATTGAAATATCACAGACATTGTAAGAAAAATTATAACTAAAATAATTTAAATATAAATATTGATTCAACTATATTAAGCATGCATTTTGTTATGACGAAGAATTTCTAAGGAGGTCAAGTTCAATTGAAGTTTACATTCAGAACAATAATATCCACGTGCAAATGGTCTTGCTTTTACATCTTCTTCTTCTGCTGCTAATTCGGCATCCACATCTGTAATAATTCATCATATCATTCAATCATCAACCTTTTATTAACAAACAATAATTGGATCTATGGGATTTTTTTACTAACAAATGTATGTAATGATTTAATATGGCCATGTATTTATATGTGTATGTACCAAGTTGGTGTTTACGGGAGCATTCCAATTGATGAATCAAGAGCTCAAAGGGAAGTGACATCAAATTAGATTGGCAAATTGGGCACGTCCATTCCTGAGGATCAGGGATTTCACTGTGTAGACTACAATAACGAGAATATCAAGATAGTTATAAATTAGCAGCTTAGCTTAAAAGAGAAGTTGGCAATAATTTTAGCTCGATTACCATCCATAAGTCAAATAAGAAGTTAGTGAAAGTCCTCCTTTCTTTGCATTAGGTTGTATTTTCCAATTTGTCTCAAATGTTACATCGTGAGGAAATTCACAAGTAAACATTTGGTCGTACATATCCTTTTGATCAGCAGCCAATAACCGTCTCAACGTATAAAAAGTTTCAGTTCTTAGAAATGAAACAAGTTTACTTGCCAGTTCTCTTGACTTTTTCAAATCGGAACGTGATATTACATCCTCTGAATTAAAAGACAATATTCAACATTATATAAAATCATGTTTTTAATAGCAGTAATTTTCATACTTTCGGATAATCGTTGAGCAATGAGTTGTGTCCAAGAATCTCGTAAACGGGTTGAAGTAATGATCATGAGCCTTGCAACGCCTGGATCTACGAACAGTAAGTTCAAGTAATCGTTGTTTAGTTGTACAGTCAGCAAAGAAAACAAATAATAAAAATTGTAAATCTAGATTAATTCATTTAATAACTTGTAACTTACCACAACAAATAACTTCTAACCACGAGTCTATAACAAATCTATTGAAAGTAGAATCCACATCGATTGTATGAGCAAATAATAGCAATGTTTGTATTGCTGGCATCCGAACACAATTCATCAAGTAAGGCTTGTTTGTTTCCAGCAATGTTCTACAATGGAATAAAGGTTAATTTTTGGGTAAAAGTGTTGACCGTTGGATTACAAGATGCTCTATGGCTATTAATAGAAGATGTGAGGAAACTTACAAGTACACCAAGAGCTGATGTTTATTGCTGACACTTAGTTTAGAAATAAAATTTGGGACGACGATAATGTCACTATCAGTTAATTTTAGAACATCGCTTTGATTAGAGAAAACTCCAGTAGGATGGATCAAAGTAAACCCTTTGCCTCTCGTGTGAAACACTTGATCAGCATCGTTCTGAAAAAAATGCATCAACCGTTATAGTCTTGTTTCTTTATGTATAAAAGCTTTAAGTATGTATACATTGTAATGTACATATATGTATGTACATTATATTTGTAATAATAAACTATAAGAACCTTGTATTTGTTGAAGTCGTCGGCAATGGCTATTTGTGGATACAATCCACTACAAAGAATTAGCTTTAGCATTGAAATATCTTCATATCCGAATGGAGTGCTTTTATGCAAAAGGTCCTGTTTGGAAACAAATTTAACACATGAAAAAAACTATAAGATAATTGAATGATAAATCAAATTACCTTAACTTGATGTGCATCGTGGCGAAGACGAAATTCGACATCTCGAATATCCAGAGGACCATCATCAGCCTCAGCATCATCATCATCAATTGCATAATCACTATGTTCTAGCTTCAGAAATTTCTTTTTCCTTGGAGCACTCATGTGGAAATCTCTTTTGATCGATCGAAGTTGCTTTACTTCGCCATGTCGCATGGCCCTGTTTATTTATAAATAAGTATATTATTATATAAGTCAGTCTGTGCATATTAAAGTACCAATTCAATTTAAGGGTGCCGATGGATAATTCTAGTAATGACAAGGATATTTTAATTATCTAATCATTTATCAGCGAATAACAATTGTATGCATCATTCTATAACATACATAGTTTCACAAATATTTATCCAAAGGGAAAGTAATCAACCTCTTACAACTTGCCTGTCAGAACTGCTTAAGGGAAGAGACGTATCCTGATCTTTAATTAAGTTGGCATCCTACAAAATTATGTAATGTTTCGTTTAATATAGGAAATTACTCCAAACTATGTAAGTTAAGCTGCATTCATATTTTCATACCTTTAGCAATGACCTGAACTGCTGCCGTAATTTAGTCATTTCATAAAATCTTTGTTCCTCCAATCCTCTCTTTTTGCACCACGTTTTTGTGTTTCGACTGCTACCACAAGTCTTCTCTTCTAACCAGGCCCGATACGCATTCAGTAAAGTTAGAGGATCTCCATGATCCGATTCCAAAGATTTCCTCGCCGCAACAGCATCTGCAGCATCGATGAGGAAATTGTGTAAGCAAGAAATTATGCAAGGAGAATAGAGGATTAACAAAGCTGACCGTTATTGGTACAGGCATGGATAATAGGATAATAGTATGTCCATAATATAATTATTTTAGAAACCTTGATCTCGATGAGCCCAATTGGTATATGGACTCTGAACACTTAACGCAGCTGCAAGTGATAGGACGGCATCAACTTGTTCAAATATTGTTGCATTTATCAGCATCTTCCCAATTGAGATATCGACAGGGAGCTGCGATAGAGTTTTCCCTATTGGCGTTAGCTGCTCGTCTTCAGTCAAAGCTTCCTTCATTATTAAAGTGAACAATAATAATCAATAATGAGTTGTTAGTAAAAAGGCTTGGTAAAGTATTAGATAAACAACGTGTCTAACTTAACTGTTTATAATCTCATTTAATTATACAATGTGCATACCTGTTCTTTCAGACGTGTAATTGAACATTCCATGCTGTCCAAACTAGGAGGCTCAATAAATGGAAATTTTCTACAATCTGTAATCCCAATCGAAATCATCTGCAAAAGTAAGGAGTCGAGGGGCACACGCTGGATTTCAGGAGTGGAAAATGGCTGGAATTCATTGTATTCTGACTCTGAGTACAATCTGTAGCAAACACCAGGCCCTGTCCGACCAGAAAAAAACAAGTAGATTATCTATAAATTAACTTTTTTACGTATTAACCCTAAAATAAGCGCTCCAAGTTTTGGTGTTATTTGTAATTTTAAAATTTCAAATATACGATGTCTTATACTTGATTGTGGGAATACTACTCTACATTTATTTATTACCAGTCCGACCAGCTCGACCTTTCCGTTGTTCAGCACTAGCCTTGCTGATCCAAAACTCTTTCAGTCTTTGCATTTTACATGCTGCATCATAAGCCATTTCTTTCACTTTCCCAGAATCCTAAAAATATAAATTGTAGCAACAGTTTAGTTTATAATGTATATAAGTGAGGCAGGAGGAGTTTGAGCTCGAAACGTTTCAAATATTTGGTCGCAACGGAACCTTACCACAACGAAACGGATACCATCAATCGTAATTGATGTTTCTGCAATATTTGTGCATATGATGCATTTACGTACGCCTTCGGGAGGATAATCAAAAACCTAGACAATAATAGACATGAAGGATCATGGAATGACTCATATACATATAACGAACAGCTTGATTTTTATATTTAATGAAACTCAAACCTTGTCTTGATCTTCTATGGATAACATGCTATGAAGTGGTAAAATTATCCAGCGCTTTGTAACTTCAGCATATGTTTTAGCTGCTTCAACAACCAGCGATATTTCATTCATTCCACTTAAAAATATCAAAACATCTCCACGTTCATCCTCTATTGATAATTGCAAAAAATACAATATTAACAAATATCAATAAGAAAATAAAATGGTTTAAAAAATGAGTTGTTTTCGTACGTGGTACTTTGTCGTCAATCAATTGTAAAATGCGAACGTACGGCGTAGGATTTATTTTCCCATTCCTCGTGTTTATTTCCTCAACTGATACTGGACGATATTGCATTTTGATGGGATATAGTCTACCAGGTACCTACAAACAAACAAGTAATGTCAGATTATATATATTTGTCATGATGCACACAATATTCAAAGTGGAGATGAGTAATTACACATTTAATAATCAATAGTATAATAATCATGTACTTTGGTGTTTGAGGACATTTTACTTGATAAACAAATTTGTTACTGGAAAGTAATAAATAGTGATAAGAATACCTGAAGAATAGGTGCCAATCCTTGAAAGTACTCTTGAAATAGCTCGATATTTATTGTCGCGCTCATTAGAATCACTTTAACATCTTCTCTCTGGTAAACCAGACATTTTACAATCCCAAGCAGAAAATCGCCATGAAGATGTCTTTCGTGGACCTAGAACCGATGAGTTCAGAATTGAGGTGTTACGGATGTTAACAAAAGCCGTCGCAGTTTTCAAAATATATTACTTACCTCATCAAGTACTATAACATTATAGTTAGTCAGCATACTGTCAGTGCTCACCTAAATGAAATAAATGATAAGTAATAGCACCCTACATGTAAATAAATCAAGAAGGCGATAAATTATGTTAAAAGCTTTCCTACCTGACGTAGCAATAACCCTTCGGTCACAAAAATAATCTTTGTGTGTTGAGTTTTACTTTTCTCGAATCGAATTTGGTACCCCACTTCTGTTCCATACTCATTTAATGTTTCGTACGCAACCCGTTTACACAGGGAAATGCAAGCAATTCGTCTTGGTTGTGTACAAGCTATACAATGTAGGACAGAAATTTGATAATTATGCTAAAGTTGAAAGTAAAATACATAATACAGGAATAACATATTACCAATGTTGGTGTATCCAGCTTTTAACAAAAACTGTGGAACTTGTGTACTTTTTCCACACCCGGTGTCCCCAGCTAAAAACATTTGAATATTCAGCATTTAAATATCTATTTAGGATGATATCTATTGCATATTCATTCAATTTTCACATAATTTTATTTTTGTACTTGTCATAATAATTTAAAAAAATAACTTACCAATGATCAACACATTGTGTTTCTCTAAGGTGTTTACAATTTCTTCCCTGTAAAGAAAGTGAAACAAAATATTTTCTTTCTTCCACGCAAATCGAATAATCATCATAATATGACCGGTATAGATGGATTATCTTGGTTTACCGAAAACTGGCAATTGGCAAGGCCGCTTGTGCTTCTCTTAATTTGCGAAGTTTAGAAAATCTTTCTTTTTGCAGAAAGTCGAGAAAGTATAGTACCGTTTGCAAAAACTCTTTTAGAATAGATTCTGGAATACTTGCTCGGACGAAATCTTGTTCCTCTAAAACACGAACAAAACGTTATGTGTAATTGGTATGTGTGGTGTGTATTAATTATGTGTAGTTTAATTAAATACTGCTCCATAATATAATTTCCATATCAGGGTAATATTAATGAAACTTACCAGGATTTAGCTTATAAATGTAATCGCTAAGGTTCGTGTACTGCAAGGAAAATGGGACCGTATGTTTCTTGGAATATATTTTTGGAATTTCAATGTTTTTGTGACCAACGGGTATACTTTTTATGCAATCGTCCAGATCACCACCCAACGTGGACGAACCTTTCCCTCGAATCGCTTGAATTTTTTCATGAAACTTCCAAAAGTCGTCATACTGCACAGAACCTTTTCGAATAATGTCCGAGTCTCGAAAAAACATACGATCCAAAAGATATTTGAATTTCTTCAAGTCAAATGTTGCGTCTTCTGGAGGATGTTTCTCTTCCTTCTTTCGTCTACGTGGTGAATTTGACATTGGCGAGCGTTCTCTTCGTCTGTCACTACTGCCCCCACTCTGCTTCTCCTTCTCCCCTTTCCTCTCTTTGGACCGCGACCTAGATTTGGATCTTGCATCTCTTGACCGCTTCTTCTTATGCGATTTCTTGTTGTGTTTTTTGGAGGCACGTGGCCAATGATTGGATCCATCCCTGTAATCTGGTGGTGTACTCCGCCTTTCCATTTCCACACTCTATGAGATTATAAATATGAAAGAACTATAATTTGTATTTATACAATACGCGATAATATGAAGTTCAGTTGAGGTACTCAACTGGAGTTAAGTTCAAGTAATGCGAAACATAGTCTTTTCTTACATGTACTCCTCCCTCCAACAATTGCCAATTGAGTGACAAAGAGTGTTAAATGTAAACACGTAGTATACAAAAATGTCTTGCAAGTGACATGATAAGCACCGACAAACCGATCGTCAATTCATATCAGCTGTGTGTGTGCCGTGAACTGTGAAGAATGCATTTATTTACAGAACAGGAATACGATGGCATTGAGTTTACTCCCGCTGGTCCAGCGAGCTCGAGGAGACGACAAGAAATCGAAAGCCGCAAAACATTTCGTGTTGCCTTTTCAACTACAATTTAACTGGAAGCTTTGTAAATCTGGAAAATTGCATTGAAATTAGTGCTGTGACAGTTGAACTACGTGAACAGAACATAGCGTAAGTGGTTTTATTTTAATTCAAAAATAAAAGTAGAATTAAATAAAAGTAGTTTCATTTCATGTGCAATAAAATTTGTCCAAACTTCAAACGTACGATTAATTGGTGTAATTCTAATTCATAATTTATATTATTTCAGGTTTTTCCAGAATATCCCTCAAAACGACTCAGACGTACGAAAGAGGAAACCGTTGTGACATATTTTCTAAATATGTAAATATGTCACACAGATTCACAATTTAGAAAAAATACAAGAATTAAACATTTTTGGATAGTTCTTAATTTCCAAACAGGTTAGTTCAAAATTCAATAGCTGATAACTTGTAATATTCTTTGGAATAATATGTATATTGTAATATGCGATATTCAGTTTTTATAGAAAAAGCACAATGCGTCCTGCTGGTGGAACACTGGTAAGAATGAGATTGTGAAATAAACAATGCAATGAAATAATAATATATTTTACCTTTGATGAATAATGTATTTGCTTTCTAGCTGGAAATCCCTCTCCGAGATTCGGACGAGGTGATAGAAATTGATGTAACTCAGTTGCCAGACGCTAGCGAAATAATTGACATTTTGCGTCAAGAAAATGCTCCTCTGAATACGTGGTCCAGTTTTGCGCTAGAATATTACAGAGAAGGACGAGATGAAGAATTCTTGAAAATTATTGAAATCGGGAGAAAAGAGGCCAACACCAACTACAAAGACAGCGACAAGTCTTTAATGAAGATTCTTGATAGTCTTGCAGCATATTATGTTAAGAAGGCAAACAAAGAACGGACCAAGGACAAACGAAAAGATTACTTTAGCAAGGCTACAGTTCTCTACACTACCGCCGATAAGATCATCATGTATGATCAAAATCACTTGTTGGGTCGTGCTTTCTTTTGTCTTCTTGAAGGTGACTAACTTCAACTTGATATGGAAAATTATTGTTAGATTTTATCACTTATTAAGAAGTTCATTGAATCATGCCATTTTTGAATAGGTGACAAAATGGAGCAAGCTGATGCCCAATTTAATTTCGTACTTGGCCAGTCTCCATCCAGCATTCCAGCCCTTCTTGGAAAAGCATGCATCGCCTTCAACAAGAAGGACTTTAGAGGATCTCTTGCTTTCTACAAGAAAGCCCTTCGAACCAATCCCCAGTGTCCTGCAGACGTGCGCGTTGGAATTGGTCACTGTTTTATGAAGTTGGGCAACAAGGACAAGGCTGAATTAGCATATGAACGAGCAATTGAACTGAATCCAAAGTGTATAGGAGCCTTGGTAGGGATGGCAATTCACAACATGAACATTCGGGAAAAAGACTCGATCCGGCTTGGAGTTCAGCTTTTATCAAGAGCCTACAGCGTAGACCCCACAAATCCGATGGTTCTTAATCATCTCGCCGATCATTTTTTCTTCAAGCGGGACTTTCAGGTACATTGAAACATTAAATGTAATGTATCAAGATTTACATACATATATTACTGTTTGATGATTTCAGAAAGTTCAACATTTGGCTCTACATGCATTTCACAATACCGAGAATGAAGCGATGCGAGCTGAAAGTTGCTACCAACTAGCGAGGTCATTCCATATTCAGGGGGATTATGACCAAGCCTTCCAGTACTACTACCAATCAACCCAGTTTGCAGGATCAAACTTTGTTTTACCAAACTTTGGATTGGGACAGATGTACATTTCTAGGGGTGATAGCGAGAATGCGGCCCAATGTTTTGAAAAAGTTTTGAAAGTGGAACCAGAGAACTACGAGACAATGAAGATTTTAGGCTCTCTCTACGCTAACTCGAGCAGTCAGTCCAAAAGAGATATTGCTAAAGATTACCTGAAGAAAGTCACAACTAGGGAACCTGATGACGTCGAAGGTAAGGATCAAGATAATTAGAGGCATATAATATGTATATAATACTTATATATATAACGATAAGAATGTTCATATTTATTTGTAGCATGGATTGAATTGGCTCAAATTCTCGAACAAACTGATTTACTTGAAAGTCAAAAAAGCTACAACACTGCAATCAAACTGTTTCAGGAGAAAGTTAAGGTTTCTGTACCTCCGGAAATATATAGCAATTTGGGATCACTCAACTATAGGCTGGGTAATTACCAAGAAGCTCTAAAATGCTTTGAGAAAGCCTTACAACGATCACAAGCTGAAGGAGAGAAAGGAGATAGTCATTATTACAATTCTATTTCCGTTACTATTTCATACAACTTGGGTAAGTTCCAAGTTTTTCTACATTTAAATATGCATATATTTTCTAAAGTAATCAATTAAAGGATATGTATAGGTATTTTGCTTAAATTTCAGCTCGTGTTCACGAAGCAATGTGCAACTTTGGCGAGGCCGAAAAATTATACAAGGACATTTTAAAGGAACATCCGAATTACGTGGATTGTTATCTGAGACTGGGATGTATGTCCAGAGACAAGGGGCAAATCTACGATGCCTCAGGTAAATAATGCAAGGAAAAGAAAGTACCTCTCTCTAATTTAAAGAGTAACAAAGGTTTATGAAATAAGAAATAAGTTTAGGAATAATGTCTGTTTGTAAACACGATTTAAAATTCACGTCGCATACTATGTTTATGTTGTATGCTTCAGATTGGTTCAAAGAAGCCCTTCAACTGAGTAATGAGCACCCGGATGCATGGACCTTGATTGGAAATTTGCATCTAAGCAAGATGGAGTGGGGGCCTGGTCAGAAGAAGTTTGAGAGGATCTTGAAAAACTCGTCAACTCAGAATGATGCATATTCTTGCATCGCGCTGGGAAATGTGTGGTTACAAACCCTGTACACTCCAAGTCGGGACAAGAACAAAGAGGCTCGACACCAGGAACGAGCACTTGCAATCTACAAACAAGCGTTACGTAGTGATCCTAAAAATATTTGGGCAGCCAATGGAATTGGAAGTATCCTAGCCCATAAGGGATGTATTAACGAAGCTCGAGACATTTTTGCGCAAGTGAGAGAAGCTACAGCAGAATTCAGCGATGTTTGGCTGAATATTGCCCATGTCTATGTTGAGCAAAAGTTGTACGTCAGCGCTGTTCAAATGTATGAAAACTGTATGAAAAAGTTTTACAAGTATCATCACACCGAAATTCTCCAGTACCTTGCTCGAGCTTATTACAAGAACGGAAAACTGAAAGAAGCAAAGCTAGCTTTATTGAGGTCCAGACGAGTGTCTCCAAATGACACGATTTTGTTATATAATTTGGCCCTCGTTCTTCAAAAATTGGCTACTCAAATTCTCCGTGACGAAAAATCTGTTTTACAAATGGTGTTGTCAGCAGTTAATGAGCTAGGCCTGGCTCACAAATACTTTCAATACCTTTCAATGAATGGTGACAGGACCAAGTATGATTTAGGACAAGCCGCAGCTGAAGCTCAACAATGTCAAGATATTTTGTCGCAAGCTCAATATCATGTTGCAAGAGCAAGAAAGTTGGACGAAGAGGAAAAAATGCTCCGAAGAAAGCAAGAGGATGAGCGGGATGCTTTCAGATTTAAGCAAATGGAAGAGCTAAAGCGTAATGAGGAGCAAAAGGTCCAACAGAAAGAAGAGATGCTTCGTAAACGAGAAGAGTTTAAGGAAAAGTCCAAGAATGCCATGATGTTTATGGAACCTCCACCGGAAACGAAAGGATCCAAACGAGGACGGCGTCGAGAAGGCGATGGTGACATTATTTCGGATGGTTCCGGATCTGGTGGAGATAACAATGGCGAGTCTCGACCCAAAAAGAAGAGAGTAAAACGTGAGGGAGATCGTGAACGTGGACGAAGTCGTAAGGGTGGTACTGGAGAAAGGAAAGGTCGTAAGCCCAAGAAAATTGACAGAGATGATGGTCTTAGCGCTAAACAGAGAAGAAAAATTAAATCCAAAGCCACAATCTCTTCGTCTGATGACAGCGACTCTGAAAACGAGCGAAAGAACCGAAAAAATAGTCGCAGCCGAAGCCGTAGTGGCAGTGGATCAGATCAAGGAAAACGCAGCGGAAGCGAATCGTAAGCCTTAGCCTTTTTTACAGCCTTTTATAGCTCTTATGTTTCACTTTTAGGTGTTTTCAGTGTGAAATAGTTTTAGTGACTAATGGTATTAATATATTCATATATATTTTAGGGATGGTGGGAAGCACCAGAAGGGTGGAAGAAAACGTATTGCTTCGTCGTCAGAGTCTGATGGAGATGCTGGTGGTAAAAGTAAAGGCCGTTCAAGATCTCGTTCACAATCGCGATCTTCCAGATCTGGATCCAGGTCTCGAAGTGGTTCCCCTGCTTCGCGAAAATCTGGCTCAAGGAGTAGAAGCGGTTCTCGTGCGTCTAAGCACTCTGGTTCTCGGTCAAGAAGTGGCTCTCGTACATCCAAACATTCTGGTTCTCGGTCAAGAAGTGGCTCTCGTACATCCAAGCATTCTGGTTCTCGGTCTCGATCGGGAAGCCCTGCCAGAAGATCAAGGTCCGGGTCTAGAAGTCAAAGTGGTAGCCCTACTCGGTCTGCCAAATCGAAATCCCGTTCTAGATCCAGAAGTGGTAGTCGTGCTCACTCTAAATCACGGTCGCGTAGCAGGTCAGGTTCTCGTTCGCGAAGCGCAAGTCCAACAAGATCAAAAAGTGCGAGTCCTCGCCCTGGATCTGTAAAGTCTGGATCAAGATCACGAAGCCATAGCCCTGCTGCATCTGGTAGTGCTTCTGACTAAATAATTTTTTTTATCAATCTGTAAAAATGTATATTTCTACCGAGTGTAGTTGTATTATAGTACATACATAGGTTCCTAAATTTCTGTACCATAACTATAATTATATTTACCATAAACTAATGTTATTTAAGTGGAAACCATATTTTATTAACTATCTACTGTATATATATGTATGTAAATGTGGCGTACTCCTTATTTGATTCTTTGATAATTTAGTGCTTTAGTCAATTTCATAAAATCCTTAATATCTATTAACTTTTTTGAAAAATAAATCACAGTTTTATTAGTGTTAGAAAAGACTGTTTCGTATGGTTTTTTTTTATATAAATACGTATATGTATATACCTCTCTCTTAATAAGTGGTTCTGAGCGTATTTTCTTCTGGAAGACAATTTCAATAGCGTGCGTACATTGCTCTATAGACGACTCATTTCATCCTGTATTACATTACACTCCATCGCAAGCAAAGCAATAAGAGATGTACTGATGTACATACATATGCGCTTTTGCTGCCCTTTGCAATAATACTTTTCGGTTTAGTTGGCTGATGGGATTATCGCTCATTCAAAGCGAAACAACAAAAGTAGGACCAGCAATGTTTTCCTTTCTCCCATCTCCTGTATTGACCATTATTGACCACATTTGTGGCAGAAAAGGGCAATCCTAATGCTCTTAATGGCCATTTGCATTCAGCAGCATCAGTATTAACATTAAAATCATCATGCTTCACTACATAATATCCAAAAGTGTTTTACTTGCCCATGGATTCCTTGAAGGAACGACGAGGCAGGCAAATCCATTATTTGCTTGCCCGTGATTAACGCTGCATCTCTCTCTCTGTTGTCGACAAACAGCCAGCAAATGTTATGGTACTTTAAAATAATCCGTTTTTTGCAACCACCAGACCATACACTAATTATCATTGTGTGCAATCAACAAATGTTCCTACATAAAGTGCTCACCATCAGCACTTAACTGACATCGTGATGACAGCAAAGACTTCGCAGGAACAAGTACTGCGTATACCTTCATGTAAATAGGTAGCTGTTTCTCTAATTTTTAGCTGAGGATGGATCTTACGAATACACTTTGTCCTCCATACATTTACCTTAAATGGGCACTCTAGGTTTTCGCATTTGCTGAACATGCGCCATTTTCATAAGGATTGTAAAAGTGGTATGACATGCTTTTGTTTTATAAATAAATTCATACCCCATAGAATATTAGGCTTTTTATATCTTATTCATTCTTATTATGTGGAAGAGCAGCAGATTGGCTTGATGCGATGCGATTTGTGATTCTAATCCCATATGATGTAGCAATTCTGATATGCTGAAAGTTGCTGCCAACAAGGGTCAAAAGTTAATCCGAGCGTGAAATCATGATTCAGGTCATAAGGATAAAATCTTTTGTGTAAATAAGACTTTGAATATATTTAATGTTCAATTGAATGTGAGTTGTTTTGCGGGATATTAATTCATGAGAGAATAGTAAGAGGATCGGTAAGTTTAGTGAGGGGCTAGTTTGAGATTTTCTCATCCTGCGATTTTGGCCTGCATTGTCTCATAATGTCTGTTTGGCAGACGGTTCAGAATGCAATCATACATTGCAATCAATGTCATATTGTTACGTCAAGAAACAGTTTATAATGCTCTCAACATACCCACATAGTTGAAACTGCATGATTTTTGGCTATACTATCTTTGCTTATGTTTGAAACCAGTATAAAATTAATGCGTTAACCACAATATCTTTAAAAGTCTGCAATCTTTGCAAGCCCTGCATAAACACAAAACAATCGTCGTCAGTATCAGAATCAGTTGATATTTTGTACGGAATGATAGAGTGGTTAACACTTTCGACCGCGCAGGCACGCGTCGACGTGGCGCATTCATTGTTCCACATATGACGTCCACTTGTGCTTTCACGACTCGTATCATCGTGCTCCTCTAATCCTGAGTCCTAAAACCGACTAGAATAGCTCAACTTGCATGTGCGTGACATGACACGAGCATCATACACAACCCTTCAATTTTTTAACCACCACTCGGTTGCAGTAAAGCTGCGGCGACACCGAACGACCGTCGCCCGTCCTCCCAATTGCACAATCATCCCATTTGTTGAATTCCACGAATTCAAAGCTCAGTCTTACTTTCGATTGCTCTTCTCTGGATTAGAGTTAATCGAGTTGGAGCGATATACAGGGAAAAACATCGCCACCCCCGTGTCATTTCTACTGCGTTTATTACTCTTGTGGACGACGTCCAAGCGGATGATCGCAATTCTCATAATAAGGCGGCATTCATCGCCTTCAGTAATAAAATAAGTTGTGGTTGGTTCGCGTTGTGCATATGCGTCCATATTATTATGAATACTTTCATTCAGGAAGGAAATGGTAAAATGTTTGTTGATTTCATTCGTAGCTGATTCATCAGTGAATTGTTGATACAAAAATGGATAGTTTTCTTTGTTATTGTGGTGGAGTCCAAAATGCTTAGGTATGGTTCATATACACATACAAAAGGCGTTAGGACATGGTTTTGACGAATTCGCGGATGAATATCTCTGGCGGGGAGTTGAATTTTGAACTGATTTTTTGTAGGCTGTAAGATCATAGTCTCAGAAAGATATGTTTAAAATTTTAGGGCGATAGCTTCAAAAATGCCCCCTCCAGTGCCCCCAGAGTTGGAAGGAGCCAAAAAACACTTTCCAAACTGAATTACTCATATAGCATGATAACCCAAGAGGTCAGAGGTGGATGATTGTTAATATTACAACCCTAGATAATCATTGCATGAAATAATAAAAGAATCCACAATGAATTACATAACGTTGTGCCTCCATCGTCGCTGATACTTTTCCATGAAAAGTGATAAATCGGACCGTGCACCGGGAAATTGACCTGCTGACCTTGAAAACGGACAGACTGGGTCAAATGAAGATTGAGGGTAAAGCTGGAAGTGTCCTAAGTAATATTAAAACAAACAGTCAAGATTTTGTATAAACAGTTTTAGAGAAGGACCCGAGTTAATCAGCTGTCGCGGAATCCTAAAAAACTCGTGAACTTATTTGGAAAATTAATGGTAAAATTTTTTCGAAAATAAATTTTAATAATCTTTTTGTGTCCCCTACTGCAAAACTATTTTATCTACAAGGTACAAGTGCCAAAATAATAAAATTATTGCGTTTTGGTTAGTTAAATTATTTCTGAAGTTCGACATCGAAAACGACGGGAACTTTTCCAAAAATTTTATAAGGTCTGATGAAAACTCAGTCCGTGGGGTATAACCACTTATCAAAATTTTGTCAAAAGTACTTACAGTGCAATATACTATATGTACCTTGGATAAAAACCACGTTAGGGATTTTTAGCATCAAAGTCGTAAAATGTGGGGGCCTTAAAAGTGGAAGAGTTGCGTTAAAGAGCGCATTCCATTAGGACAAGTATGAAATTAGACTGCAAAACGGACTTAAAAGATAAGCATAAGGCAAAAGTGGTTTTATATAGTGAAAAGCATGCTAAGTCCATTGATAATAGTCGCAAAGACGATTTTTGCATCAGGACCTCAGAAAAAAATATATCGCTCAACGCCATTTTATAAGAACACTGGTTTGGAAAACTAAAAAAGGACACCTCTCCAAATTTGACCTTGCCTCATTTCGCAGAGTACACAAAATCGGAAGCCAGATATGCTTACCTATAGTTTGAGACATGGGCTTTCAAATAAAAAAAGTTAGAAATCTCTACGACTAAAAACCATCCCGCAATTAAGGTATGAATTCGTCAAAACCATGTCCTAACGCCTTTTGTATGTAAGTGTGCACAAAAGACTTTGAACGATGCGCAAAGGGGACGCGGGGCTGAATAATGACACAATTCTCATGTAAATACTTAAATGGGAAAATATGCATGTATTTCAGGAAGTATCCATTAGAATCCGAATGGATATGAATTTTAATAATCCGTTGAATATATTTTTGGACTGCCATGTGTGGGAGGTTGAATGTGCTTGCAGTTGAGTTTCCATATTTATTCATATTCGAATCTTTGCGTAATAAGTTGAACTCGGTCCATTTGTAATTAAGCACTTATTTATTTCATTAAATTCATACAGAAATATAACGTTAAATAAGTAAGTACATATGTATACATGTAAATAGATGTATGGATGAAATAAGTTGAAATTTGTGTATACGTCAGCATTGAGATATACATTGTAACACCCCTTTTATTAAACCTTTTCACAACTTTACGTCAACCAACTTAATCCATTAACATCTGTGAATGGTTATGAAATCCGCCCTCTAACACCCCGACCCCTTTTGGTCAGCATTAAATGAACGCAGATTACCAATTACTTAATGCTCTTTTTTTGTAGATATCTGTAGTGACGTAGTAATAACAAGTGTGCTTTTAATTAACAAGTGCTTTTATTACAAAAAGTATTGGTGTTTAAGATGCTTTTAAGATTGAGGTGCCACACCAGGCATTTGGATGGACCCTCATCACACAATATTTCCGTGAGGTAGATCAGGAATGCTTTTAATAGATTTTAGACCATCGTAAATCCAAGTCACATGTCTACAAGAGAGAGACTACTTTTTTAAACAAATAAATATAGTCAGAAGAGTAAAACATTAGACGGACAACTTTTACGGGTGCAAGACAACTCTTGCCACTGAATTCTTACACTTGAATGAAACACTCAAGTACACGGTCTCTTTCAAATCTCAAATAAATCGAATTACGTTACTTTTAGAGCTCGACATATTTTGGTCTTGTATATAAATTTACACGCATTTCCTACCTCACCCAAGGAAAAGTTTATGTCGCTATTTTAAGTGAAATTCAATTTGTATCTGAACTCTTGAGTAGGAAACAAGTTTTTTCTGGAAAGGTGAAAAGGTGTTAAATAGTTTGTGGAGGCAGTTTGAGAAACGTACGGAGCATGTTGAAAGTTTCACCTTTCTCACTAAATGTATGTAACTTGATGTATACATGTATGTATGTGCAGATAGATATTTCTTGTGATTTCCTCCTGCACAGTTTAGCTGAGTTTTATGAAAATCAAATACAGAAAAATTGTAGAAAGTGCACACATTGAAATTCATTCGAGAGATGCGTCATTACATTTTGGCAGAGGAAAACCCGTTGCCAGAGGTTTATCAAATATTCATTGGTCTTGAAAGGGATTTCTGGTTGGTCCGATGCCTTTCTATCGAAAATGGCGAGAACCAGGTACATGCATAGCGGAGATAAGAATACAGGTTCAATCATATGTGTGCATGCATTTGTG